GTTATGCGTTTTTCGCATTGCACTGCTGCAAAAAACGAATGGGCATGAAAATGTTTGCTCGCTCTGTTGACAAACGGTGGATAGTGGGGCGGAAGGAAAATACCTTTGGAAAAGGTGGTGCACACGTACATTGGAGGAAAGCTGGGTGAAAACTGGAGGTGTGCAGCTCAAGAATGCATCTTAACATAGCATATGGATTTCGCTGGGGGTCGGAATTCTGCCTTGATAGCCTCAGCGATCCAAGGGCTTTTTGTAGCACCGCTTCTTGTTTTATGAGAATTTTCTGGATGTTTATTGGAATATTTGGCTTTCAGGCGCGTCATCCACAGCTTCTTTACGAGAGTAAAGTCTACAAGATCCTGCAAGGTGGCGTTGGCATACCGCACATTCGTTGGTAATTTTCAAAATTTTTTGATCATTTTTTGTTCTCAGCGTAGTTTTCTAGCCCAGCTCTTCCAAGTATAATGTCTCAGTGACGAGCTCTGGATGCTTTGCTCTGCAACAAAACTTTTAGGTATGGCACCGAAAGGGAGTACAATGTGCTAGTGATGGATTTGCTAGGACCTTCGCTGGAGGACCTGTTCAACTTTTGCAGTCGTCGTTTTACGATGAAAACCGTGCTGATGCTTGCTGATCAGATGATCGGCCGAATTGAATATATTCATGTGAAGAATTTCATTCATCGGGATATTAAGGCGAGTTTACAGTTTGTTTGAGATCACTGAGGTTCCTGCAAGCATACCTATTTCTCGTTGAGAGCCACTGTGGAGATTTGGATTTTTAGATTAGCACATAAACAGAAAACATCCTCCAACAATTTTAGCTTTCTGCTTTGTCTGATTCCCGAACTAAAAACCCCCACTTATACATGAAAGCTGGATCTGAAGAAACTTTAGGGGAAGCACGAACTTTCAGCTTTCCATCTCGCAGGTGCGCAAAGCACAAATTTTACGACAAAATTCCTATTTATCCGTGCATAAGTAGGAACGGAATTTAAATTTTTGGGATCGCACGTGGCTTGAAATATTTCCTTTAGCTTTTGTGATTCCCGAGATAATAATTTTGCCGTCATCGTCTTCACACATGAGATCTGAGTGTGTTTGAAAGCGGAATTTAAATCTTAGGGTCGCACGTGGGCAAGGAACATTTCCGTAGCTTCCTAGATAAATTATAGCTTCCGAGCCTACGTGATTTCCAAATTATTCCAGAATTTAAGCGCAAATGAAAATTGAATTTACACTTCCGGGTCGCAGTTACGCGGGGAATGTGCCAATGCATAAAATTCCTAACTTTTATATTTTTCGACTTGTAAATCTCCTGACAAAACGCACTCAAAGACACGCAGACAGACAGGAGGTCGACAGTATGCAGTTTTTTGCATCTGCTACACAGAAAAAATGCATAAAAAGCAGAAAGATGAATATTATCAAGAAATGGCCATCAGCTCATGCAAGTTCAGTCAATGAAACCGCAGAAAGATTGTCGTTTCATGGTGCCACGAGGGAGGTGCGTTGCTATAAAACGCGTTTGCTGGTGGGAGTAGTATTTGTGAAATATCTCCTAGTACTTTTGCATTTTTAGCCGTTAGTGTTTTGGCCCAGCCCAACCAGTCATAATAGCCGAATAGCCCGATTTTTATCTTTACATCTTTTGCTGCATTCGATAATTCATCGTAATTTTAGCCGGACAATTTCATGATGGGAATTGGACGACACTGCAATAAGTTGTTCCTGATTGATTTTGGATTGGCGAAGAAATATCGCGATTCGCGCACTCGAGCACATATACCGTATCGGGAAGACAAAGTTCTGCTTACGAGTTTTATTAAATTTCAACAGTTTTTAAGGCATTTTTAATTTTTTTCGTTTTTAAAGCAGAAAAATGTTGACGGAGGATCGTTTCAGAATCTGACCGGCACAGCACGGTACGCTTCTATCAATGCGCATCTCGGAATTGAACAGTCGCGAAGAGATGATATGGAATCACTGGGATATGTTCTGATGTATTTCAACAAGTAAATTTGTTTCAAAGTTTCAGATCCGAATTTGGGTGCCACTTAGTAAGGAGGAGTAGTAAAAAAAAAGTCCAAAATCTTGCCCATATTCGTCCTCTTTGTGAGGTTGAAGTATTCGAGAATTGCTACAATGACAGCAAGTGCTATCAGCACATCCCCACTGACGAGAACCCTTTTCGAGGATTTCTGAGGAAGAAGTTCGTGGCGAGCCTAGCCTTTTTGCATGAAAATTTTTCCTTATGGGATTGTTTATTTCATCTGAGCAATCAAATACTCCCTCTTTAATTCTGGACCTCGAAAAACATGCCGTTCTAAAAATGTTTTCTAAAAAACTGCTGCGGTTAGCTTCGCGACGAACCTGATTTTCGTTTTGTCTCCTGAAGAGATTATCAGCCCTCCGATTCCCTCTACAGTAGCACTTTGGCAAGGCTTTAGACGTTTAAAATATCCCTGTTATGTGTTGAGCATCATCCCCTTATTCAGAACATTAATGCTTCTAGATAACAGTGGGATTGTGGATTGTTGCGTTTTATTTGTTATTGTGATTTGCATTGCCAGATTTCTTGCACGATTCCCTCACAAATATGGTGTCTTGGACTTTTTGGACGAAATGATTCAGCATCGTTTTTCAGGGGAACACTGCCATGGCAGGGTCTGAAGGCAGCAACGAAGAAGCAAAAATATGAAAAAATTAGCGAGAAGAAAATGTCAACGCCAGTTGAGGTATGAAACATCGATTTTACACATAAATGGTGACGCGCACCGGGGCCACCGGTGTCATCATGCGTTTTGCGAGGTCGTACGTGAGCATGGAATATCCCCTTAAAATTTCAGCTTCCTAGCAACGTCGAACATCCTAGCTTAATAATGTTGTTGTACATCAGCACTGTCGGCTTCTTCACATTTATTAGTTTCTACAGTCTTTGTACGTTCACATCGACACACATATACCACTGACGCTTAAAATTGCCTCTTCACATGTTTTAATACTGATACTCGTTCACTTCGTCATAGCAATTAGCATAATAGAATATCATCTGATTTCGTTACTATGTTAGCACCAACAGTCTTTTTTTATATCTTTCGTTCTTTGGTGCTATTATAAGTTTTCGTTTTCCTGTTTCAGCTCAAAAGATTAGCCATTACTTGTG